TTTGACCTTTTGAAATTCTTGAAAGAGTTGGGAATATGGCTTAGCGACTTGCCCTACCACTTGAGTTGGCGAATATTCATGACATGTTCCATGTATTACTGTTAAGGAAATATCAGTCGGACCCGTCCCATGTTTTGAGTTATGAACCAATTTCGATCATAAAAGACTTGATTTATATTGAACGACCGATTGAAATAATTAACAGGAGAATGCAAGTGTTACGTAATAAAGAAATTCCTCTAGTCCGTGCGTTATGGCAATATCACTCAAATTAAGAATCGACATGGGATCGAGAAGATGAAATTCGGGATAAGTACTCCGAGTTGTTTGACTAACTAAGACACGATTTTGCGGACAAAATCCTATTTAAGGAGGGGATGATGAAACGAACCAGACTTTCCTTGCAAGAGAAAGTATGCACGGCGGTGAAGAGAGAAGAAGAAGAGAAAGTACGTACGGCGGTGAGAGAGTACGCATGGCAGTGAAGAGAGAAGAAGAAGAGAAAGCATGCACGGTGGTGAGCGAGTGCGCACGGCGATGAAGAGAGAGGAAAAGAAAGTACGCACGACAGTAAAGAGAGAAGAATAAAAGTGTGCACAACAGTGAGAGAGTGCGCACGGCAGTGAAGAGAGAATAAGAAGAGAAAGTGCGCATGGCGATGAGAGAGTGCACACGGCAGTGAAGAGAGAAGAAGAAGAGAAAGAGTGCACGACGGTGAGAGAGTTCGCTCGACGGTGAAGAGAGAAGAAGAGAAAGTGCGCACGGTGGTGAGAGAGTATGTACGGCAGTGAAGAGAGAAGAAGAAAGAGTGCACACGGCGGTGAGAGAGTGCGCAAGGCGGTGAAGAGAGAAGAAAAAGAGAAAGTATGCACGGCAGTGAGAGAGTGCGCACGACAGTGAAGATAGAAGAAGAAGAGAAAGTGTGCACGGCAGTGAGAGAGTGCACACGGCGGTGAGAGTGTACACGGTGGTGAAGAGATAAGAAGAAGAGAAAGTACGCACGGCGGTGAGAGAGTACGCACAACGGTGAAGAGATAAGAAGAAGAGAAAGTGCGCTACACTGCCTAGCTTGTGCATGACTCATGGATGCCACTTGCCTACTGCATACTGCCACAGCAGCCGCCCGTCAAACTGCATGTCACTAAACTGCCACAAGGAAACCCCAAGCTGCCACCTCACACTTTTGGAGTACATAAGCCTCTCTCTCTTTCCCTCACGTCATGGTCTCACTCTTACAAACCAAGCACTTAGCATTTGCAACCCCCTTTTTTAACCTTTGTTGGAGCCCAAATTGAGGAGCTTGAGGAGTGATTTGTGGGACGAAATTTGGGAACACCATTGCACAGACAAGGTATATGGGTCATCTATCTTGTAGGTCCTTAAGCATGGATTTAGCATGAATTAAGTATAAGAATGAGCATGAGTAGATGCATGAATAGTGGATGTATGTGTACACTGTTATACCATGATTTCCAACACTTTAGTTTGCCTTTGCATGCCCAAAATGAGTATCAAATATTCCTTGTTTTCTATGGAAAACCTGTGATTAAGTTCTTATATGTATAATGGCCAAAAAAAAGGCATTATGTTAAGATGTAGCATAAATTTGGGATTAATTGGTTGTCATTTCCAAGAAGGTTCTATGTTTTTGTAATCTACTTTTGACCTATCAAATGAGGTCCATATGACCTTAAATCACTGTCATTGGAAATATATCTATGTCTACTAAAATATTCATGTTTGAATCTTGCTCAAATTATTTATGCATGAAGAGTTATCCTTCAAAATATGAAAGTTTAGTAAAATTTCAGAACGGATGTCGCTGTTGTTACGAATTTTAACTGACTAAATGGAGTCCGTTTTCTTCTAAATCAATGTCATTTGAAAGATCTATGAGTATACTTGAAATCACATGTTGAACACATTACAAAATTCCTGCTAGATTGAGAGTTATACAATTATATACGAAGATATGTTACTGTGGACAGATATCATAAAAATCCAGAATCATTACTTTAGTTGTCACGAACTTTTGAATGCCCAAATGGAGTCCAAATGTTCTCAAACTACCCTTGATTGAAAAATACATGTTTTTATTCGAATTTTGGTTTTGAAAACACTTCAAAATGCCTTATGGATTGAATGTTATAACTATGCTAAGTGGGACATGTCACTGTCCGAACTGCACAACAGGTTACAAACGGAATGCCTCCTTTCTAATGAGCTTTTGAAGGGTCAAACGGGGTCCAAACGCTTTCAAACTACCCCCATTTGAAAGATACGCGTATCTAGTGAAAATTTGGTTCGGAACCATTTTCGAGTTCCAAATGGATCGAGCATTATGGCCCTGTATGTGATAGGAAGTCACTATCTAAAATTGCAGAAAAATAGGATACTATGATTCTATTATATGTGATTCTGTTATGTGTACCATGACCGCTACGCAATGGGTCCTCCATTAGTAGTGGATACTGTGATTTTGTTATATGTGATTTTTTTATATGTGTCATGACCGCTACGTAATGGGTCCTCCATTGGTAGTGGATACTGTGATTCTGTTATATATGATTCTATTATATGTGTTATGACCGCTACGCAATTGGTCCTCCATTGGTAGTGGATATTGTGATTATGTTATATGTGATTCTGTTATGTGTGTCATGACCGCTACGTAATGAGTCCTCCATTGGTAGTGGATAATGTGATTCTGTTATATGTGATTTTGTTATATGTGTCATGACCGCTTCGTAATGGGTCCTCCATTAGTAGTAGATATTGTGATTCTGTTATATGTGAGACTATTATGTGTGCCCTAACCACCTAACCACTACGCAATGGGTACTCCATTGGTAGTTGGATTTGTGATTCTACCATACTGAAAACTGATATCTGTGATATGATCACTACGTAATGGGTCCCCCATTGGTAGTTGGGTATATTGTACTTCAACTCTTATAATAAGAGTGGAGTCGAGGAGTGACTGTGAATAACAGGGTGGGTCGCGCCGTCCAAATTGTTATGGGTACTACGCATTAGGCCCTCCAATAGTAGTGTAACGCCCTCTTGCCTGAAGGAGTAAAAAGATGACATTGTCTTGCAATGCCTCAGCCTATCGAAAACCCCAATGCGTGTTGGGGATTATGTGCGTGAGTGAGGACCTTACAAAATGGGACCACCATTTATTATTGTCCTCCCTCCTGAATAAGGGTAGAAGTTTCAAATACAGGATTCCCTTAGCCTAATCGATGTGGCTTCTACTTCAGAAATAAATAGATATGTTCTGCCTGTTTGACTTAAGCTTTTCATGTGAACATCTGACTTCGACTGTAATAAGCATAGATGTATCCGCCAACTCGAGAACAATGGATACTTTGATATCTGCATGCTACTCTCTTTATATACGATAAATATATATATTCTGATGCACGATCCCACTCTGTGATGCCGGTATGATTTTTGTTAAACCGTAGACCATGTTATTATATATCTGCATGTATGTGGGAATGCAAGGGCACTGATCTACTTACTAGGCTTTTAGCTCATTCTTTTTATTTTCCCATTTGTGTAGAGTGTTAACCGACCATCCTTGAGGGGGCAATTGGACAGCGGTGGCAGGCGGCTGAACCTCGGGTTCGATCAAGGAACGTTTTGATAGTAGGTGTCGCGTGGCCGCAATGTTGTTTTGATGTATATTGTCTTGTTTATGTCAGGCCGATAGTGCCTTGGACATAATTGTAAAGTACCTTTGGAGATTTTATATGTACTTAATGGTTTTTGTTTGTGGTTTTATGTAGTTGGATAAATGAGTTTTTATTTTCTTTCGTGGTTTACTGTGATTCTGCATTTCTAAACGCGTTGAGCCACTCCCACCTGAGTGACGTTCGCTACCTCTGGTCACAATCCCACACTTTGTCGCCTTCCGACTAGTACGGTAGGGGTTAGGGGGCGAGGTCGTGACAAGGGGACTTTTCGCGTGTACTCTAAAGCACTGGGATCTAAGAGGGCACGTTCATCTAGTTGCATCCGCCCCCTCTATAACCAAGTAAGCCTTACGTCAAATCTTTCTTTTCTTGGTTCGAACCACACACACCGCACTACCCAAACCTTATCCTGATGGCCATCGGGTCACCCTCATGTATACATATGCACGCACTCGAGGGGCACGGGACACATTTTCTTTTATGTTTCAGAAACACAAAAAAAGGAAGACTTTGAGGTTTTAAGAAATGGTTTTCGCAAATTGACAAACCAAGGCCGACCAATGTATAATAAACTCCTCTCCTTGCTTTGACATCAATCTACACGTGTAGGCTTCATCAACACCACTAGGATCCAGACTAGTCAATGATAAATACTATGAATAGAGACCAGGCAGTTGTCTTTTCCTTGAATGTTAACATTAGGTCTTCTCACATTGACTAAACCCTTCCTTGAGAATTCTTTCACTCCAGGACCACTCATTCCCTTAGCCACATTTGAATCAAGTCTTCCATCCAATAAGACTATTGAAGTAACTCTATCTTTATTATTTTCGATCCACGGTCGAAAAGGAGAGAGGATTAGCAAGAGAGAGGAGCCACAACATCAAGGTTTTGAGCCCAAAGTCAACAATGTAATCAGTTTTTAACACTTAAAAGTTTAATATTTAACATTTAAAATAAATTAAAGCTGCACCCTTTGACTTTAACACCTCCGTCATATGGGGAAAAAAGCACGTGGTATCAAATAAACCATTTGTTTTATTTATTTTTTTACGTTTGTTTAGACTTTGCACATATCTTTTCTAATGTCTAACATCTTAAAAGAATGAAAGTTTTACCCCATAGGTTGGATCCTCCAACATGTGGTCAAAAAAACAAGAACGCCACCTAGTCATTGTAGCTTTCTACTGTTAAACATGAAATTAAAGAACCACCAATACCAACCGAGAATTGGCATACTAACCAACGACTCCTGATCCGGATTGATAAACTATTGAACATTGATTGAAAGAAATTAAGGAACTAGAGCTTCGAGTGCTTTCGTCATAAGGACATTACGATTGAGGAGGTCAATTAAGAATCTAAAGTTAAATACAGGTACATAGCCATCATCACTTCCGGACAATGAAACATGAGAGAGACATTCTCATTCCATTTACCATTTCAAAAGACCAAAACAAATGGCATAAAAGAATTACGTAATATAGAAATAAAAGCAGAAGCTACCGGTTCATGGCATTAGGCCTCCTTTTCCTTAACTTGCACCATAGGCCATCTTTTGTATGGATGGTGGCCCCAGTGACTGCCTCCATAGATTCTGGGGGATCCCTCAGCTCTACATCAAACCTGTGCAGCAGCAATGCTAGTGCAATCGTGGACTCCATGAGGGCAAATTGGTCTCCCAGGCACTTGCGTGGTCCACCACCAAATGGGAGAAAAGCGAAATCTGAGATGATCTGTGGCATCATGCAAAACACGGAGATATCACTCTTCTAATACAAGGAAAGCGGTGGTATTTGTGAACTTCATGATCTCAGCTGTGATGTTGGGTTCTTAGTTGGGAACTAACCTCATTTGGGTATAAGGCTCCAGGGCTTCGCTGTGGATCAAACCCCGCCCACCCTTCGACTTCACTTTTCTTGGGTCTCAAGAATCTCTCTGGCTCAAATTCATGTGGTCGATCCCAGAAATAGTGGCACCTGTGAAGGTTATATACCTGAAGGCAGGGAAAGACACTCACTACAAGTCATTTTTCAGATTAAAAGTTAAATAAGACTACATGATAATTGTAGCTTTGGAACATTTTAACTGAAAAATGATCAAGGTATGGTGCAAGAGGAGGATGATGTAAAACAAGGGAAATTTGCAAGTATAAGAATAATTATAAATAAAAGATTATTTTACCCAAGAAGATGGAACTGTGAAACATTGAAAGGAGACACTCGCATGAATATGAAGTCCACATTCTGAGACAAAGCACTAGAAACCTATTGATGACTCCATCATTAATTATATGGCCTAGCCATCTAACAACTAAGAATATAGGAGAAGAGACAAGTTCTATTGAAAAATTAAATAGGAAAAGGGTAGAAAACTAGAAAGTTCTTCAAAGGGAAGGAACCCTAGGCATGTGATATAGAGCACAGTTTTGACAATGCAATACACTTACTTTTATCTAATAGGAAATTGAAATACATTACTTGCACAATGGTTCTCTAATCATAGTTATGATTTTATATAAATTTCTGTTTCATATAATTCTAAACAAATACTTAACCCCTTCAAATAAAACTAGGCTTCATTGAAAAATGAAGTCAACGTTTTCATTGGTTTGTAAAATTTTCTTATTACAAGTTATTAACATTTTGAGAATATCACAGTTAAACAAAGGTAAGAGATGATTGTCATTGTCAATTGGATCCTCAAGGTTCACCTTGTTGAGAGCCTCAAGTCCATGAAGGCAATAAGAACACAGTTTTGTCCAAGAGATTCTTGCAATAAGATATGTCCTTGATCACAAGGACTCTAGCAGAACAATAAGTTTGTTTATAAACTTTATAGTCACTTGACTATCTTGATTCTTCTGAGCAAGGTCCATAAGTTGTATTAACTACCAATATTAAAAGTTCACCCGCCTTAGAGGCTCGAGGCAGGCCCTAGGTGCCTAGGCAAGCAGAGGAGCCGAGGATGGGGCTACTTGAGGTACCTGCCGAACCCCTACCCAAATAGGCCCTCATGCAGGGCCAAACAAGGTCATTTTGGGAGGTTTTCTAACCTCCCAAATCCTTGATTTGGTTTTCAGATAGAGAAACCCATCTAAAAACCAAGATTAAAAAGTGGTTTTCAAGGTTCAAATTATTTCATAAGAGATTGTGAGATCAAAGAGCGGTTAAAGGAGCTGCTTTTGCAGGTAAAGCTCGCCCAATTCGAGCCAACTTTTATTAGATTTTGAGGGGTTAGTTTATTTCTATTTTTTGTTTGTGTTTATTAATATTTTACAAGATATGGTTTCTTTTACTTTTTCTACAAATTGGTATTGGAGTTGGGTTTTGAGTTTGGATATGTTTATCATTTTTAGTTATTTTATTTTTTTAATATTCAATTTAGCTTTTTGTATTTTTTACAGTTTTGATTTCTTATTTGCACCTTTTGGCTATTGTAAAATTTAAGTATTACTTTGGGTTTCTTGATCAATTTTTTCAACACTCGGTTTTGGTTTAGACACTTTTTCCAATAAGTTTTGACTCTTGTGATCTTTTTTGTACTTTCAAATTCAATTTTTGGAAATTTTGGTTTTGTAAATTTGTTCTAGTATAGGTTTGGGATTCCTGATGGATTTTATTTTGGTTTAGTGATTTTGACTATACTTGGATTTTGATTTTATGATTTCTTTTACTACTGAATTTTGATTATGGAACTTTTGGTAAATTTTTCCTAGTATGGGTTTGAGTTGCATGATGACCTTTTTGGAGATTCAGAATTGGTTTTGTAACTTTATGTAATAGTGGGTTTGTAGTTTGTTTACTTCATTCAAGATTAAAGTATAATTTGTTGGATATTGTATGCATTCAAGTTTGAGTTTTGATTTGTTAAACTTTTCCCTTGATGCATCTGAGAAAACACACAATACAGAGTTCACTTTAGACATAGCAGACAAGTGTATAAAGCAGGTGGATGAACAATATATCATTTGGGTAGTTACAAATATGTGTAGCTAGAATGTTAGTTGCCACACCATTGAGGGAGGAGGCAACATAGTTTTTGGATTCCATACAAGAGGCATTGTATCAAGCCCGTACTTGAGGCATCAGTAAGCTAAAAATTATTTACTTCAACGACAAAGAAACGAAAACCCTTATTGCTTCCATGTACAACCACACTCAAATACTAGTCATGATGAGGAAATTCATTGAGAAGAGGGAGTTTATGAGGCCAAGGGTGAAGACATTTGCAACTTCTTATTTGCCTCTTAAGCTCTACTAGTAATATGCACGTACATTGCACATGTATTAAATATTACTTACTGAAATAAAATTCTAATATTAAAATAAAATTATCAAAAGGCATATTCGATCATAGAGAGTCTATAGAAAGAGATTTTTTATTGATCCATCTTCACATATGGGCTTCTATTAGATAATAATCATTTTTTTTATATTTTAATTATTAATTTTTAGTAAATATATAATTCACTTATAAGTAGATATTATTTTGCAAAATAAAAAATAAAAACACAAAAACATATCACATAAAGCTTCAAAAAATGATTATAATTCTATTTATAACTTGAATTTTGAAGTAATTATGTTTCTAAAAATAATTTTAACTATATGATTTAGACGGAATGGCGGAATAGGATTCATGTAGTGGACCAAATAGTTGGGATAAGGCTGGACAATGATGATGATAAATTTCAATTATATTATTCACCTATGTAATTTGCATTTACATTACTTATTAATTTGTTTTTCTTTCTTTGTATTTTTAATTAATATTATACACTGATATAAATAAATTTAGTTTTACTTACAGTAGTAAATATATTTTTTACTTATAAGTAAGTACTATTTTGGAAAAGAAAAAAATCAAAAATATAAAAAAGAAAAACAGTAAAAAATAACTATACACAATTACATGTCATAGTAATTAATAATAATTTGTTATAATTTTGTAGTGATATATCTGCTAAGGGATTATACAAATTTAATAATATTTGGTAATATTTATATAAATTATATTACGTCACTTATTAAACAAATCTTATTGATAAATTCTTTTGCAGTAATAATAACTACAAAAATACAATAATTATTATCACATGTAATTGTGCATAGTTATTTCTGATATGCGTATAACCTAATAATATTTAACAATTGTTCTGATTATTTTTTTTTGTATAATATTCATTATAGTTTTATAATTACAATAATAATATTGTTAATGATATTGAAATAGTTGTAATTTTTAATATTATAATAGTTACATCTAACAATAATAATCATAATCAAAATCAAAATCATTAAAAATAATAAATTTTTTTAATATAAACAATTAATATACATAAGAGGATAGAGAGATAATACGTCGAGACTGAGGGAGAGTGATGGCGTACATGTGGGGGAGCGGGGAGGGGGGAGGGAGGCTTATACATTCTTTTAATGTAGGAGAGATAAAGATTTGATTCCCTTAATATAGGAGAGATAAAGATTTGATTCCCTTAATGTAGGAGAGATAAAGATGTGAGGGAATATATTGAGAGAGAAAGAATGGTGATGATGGTAATTGTGAGCATTAATTAATGGGTGTGGTTTCCATAAAGTGGCAATCTTTAAACAATCCAATTAAGGCACACCTTCAGATTTGATCATAACATATAATTTTGATGTAAAATATTCTTAGGATTATCTTAAAATCTATTTTCATATCTAATTATAAAATTTTAAACTTCAAAAATGGTTAAAATCAAGTAGATCTATAAATGAATGAAAATTTTGAAAATGGACGGTCAAGATAATGTGCTGTAAGATGCACTATTTCTAAGACTCAAAATCTTTTTTTTTTCATAATCATACGTCTTGATGTGAAGATGCTCAATTAGAGGGTTTCTCAACATTAAAACAACCTTTTCCGATGAATTTTTGAAGTGCATCCGTAGTTCTACATTTTAAGGTTGGAACCTTGTATAAAATTTTTCCTTAATTAATAGTTAAGGATAAAAATAAGATATGTACAAATAAAAAGGAAAAGTGAAGAAACAAAAAAAGACGCTTGGCGTGAGGGTCATCCACTCGCTTTATATATAATAATATAGTAGCTCACAAAGACAAACTCAAGGCAATATTTATCTCTAAACAATGGAGCAAGAGCAAGTGATCCAAGCATGCAACGTGATGTAGGCGGACTTCACATAGTGATTCAAGAGCTACCTTTAGGACTTCAGAGGCTAAATCAGCTTCTTAAATTTTAGTGTTATAGAGCTCATGCTATCATTTCTAGAATGGGGCATGATAATCATTCTGGAATCAGAGCAATAAAATTATGGCTTCCAGAAATTGCGGTATCCTTTCCACCCCCCTCCTCTTCTTCCATCAGAATGAATTTGTCTTACTATTTTATCAAGGACAAAGGTGACACTACTAAATTAAGTTGTAATTAGGGGTTCAAGTTATACTAGAATTACAATTTCTTGAGGTTCAAGCTAAGTTTCAGATTGTAAATATAAGTCATTATAAACTTTTTGCTTAAAAATTTTGGATTTTGTTAGGCATTCCCTTATATGGACCAAAGGACAATAGAAGCTTCGTGTGTAAGCATCAACTCTTTTATTTTCAATCAAATTATCCAAGTTTTTTGAGTCTACTATTTCTTTCTTCAATTTTGCATCATACGGTAGAAGAGCATGTCAATCCCAAAATGCCTGAGATGCTGAAGTTTGCATGACAATAGCTAGAGGAGGGTGAGGTGGTCATGCTAGAGGTGGTAGATCCAAACCTATACAAAGAATTCAATAATCTGATGAGATTTGAGGAGCTGGCGCAAGAGGTGCGTCACACCAGCTCTAACTGAGGTTCATCCATTCGTGATTGATGGGTCTGATTCTGCAGCGGTGAACCCGTTCAATAAACAGAGAAGAGAAAATCCCACATTAGAGGCTTGGTTGGTTTGGGTTCTTTAAGGGTAGGGTCGTGGTATTTGTTAGGATGTGATGCAAAGATC